GCACGCGTGGGCCTCTCGGTGTCTTTCCCCCGCTTCCAGCCGCCCCAGGTTCTACAGGTGACATCGGTTCCTCTTCTCGCTCTTCACCCGTCCTCGTTGCCCTCCTTTCTGTGTTTAAAATAATTTTCCTTTAATAAAACAGGAGAATTTCACCCCACTCTGCTGAGCTGCTTTTTTTCTCCCCCCGGTGTCTTTCCCCGCTGCCTTCCTGCGGCCGTGCCCGTGCCCATGTGCCATTAGCCTGCCTCCGGCTGAAGCTCCTTCAGCTTCTCCGCGCTTGGGTTTGCTCCAGCAGCGCTCACCTTTTCCAGGGCAACCGGCGGCGTTTCGACCCGCCAGGGTTCAGGTGAAGTTGTGGTGGGGGGGAATTGCACTGCAGGAGAGTCTGGGTCGTGACAGTTGTGATGATGGTCTCGTTTTTATACATGTCATCCTGCTCGTTTAGAAATGAAGTGAAACTCCTCACTGTTGGGCTCTTTTGCACTTGACTAATTTCTCAAGAACAGAAGTAAAATGAACCAAAAAAGACGCCTCCACGTGAGTGGAAAGATGTGATGGTTAAAAGTCCTCCCAATGTTGGAAGTCTGGAAATGTGGAGGACAGCTGGAAAAGGCTTAAACACCACTTTCCTATATATCTGTAATAATGAGTGTCTGGCAAAGGATGACAGGAAAGCGGTTTTATTTCTGACAAGACCTATTTAAGAAGCACTTCATATTTTTAGTCATTTTCAAGTAACTCAAGAGGAGGCCAGCTATGAAACTGAATTTACTTCAGTCCGAGTAAAAGGGAAATGTACCAGTAACACGCTTTCAGGCAGAGCACAGAAATGAAGATAAAGCATCTGAAAGGGATGTTGTTAGGGGGGACTGAGCCCCAGCAAAGAGATTGATTTCAAGACTAAGGTAAAATCTCTGAAAAAGAACTTAGCTGAGGAAAACCTGCATCATGCCAGAGCTTATGGAGCGTAGATAGCTCTCTCGTAGCATTAGCGCTGACACACCATGTGAAGTGACACGTGAGACAGAAAAGCACGTTGAGTGTAATAGAATGGTCCACAAAAAGTAGCATGTGGAGGTTTTTTTTTACTTTTTGGCATGGAAGACAGGCTAAGATAATGATTTGGATTTGGAAGGAGATTGAAGAACTGTGAATTGCTACATCACTTGTAAGATTTCTCTCTTGGATCCAAAGACCTTCAAAATATTAACTGTAAGACTCATTTTTAAAGGGTGGAGGTATTTGGGAAAAAAACTCACTGAATTTATTTGTGCATGAAAAAGACACTGGGTTATGAATTACCTTTGAGAGCCAGATGGAAACTAAGACAGTGGTCCAGTCAGCAAACAAAAGTGTTGAGAAGCAGTGAGGAAAAACTTTTAAAGTTTTTGACAGGTCATATGGGAGTCAGAACTGATTCAGAGCAACAGGACATAAAATTAAATGTAAATAGAGGTTGGAACAAAACTAATTGTTAAATGAAGTCATCAAAAAGAAAACACTAAAGGAAAATGATCCTCATTCTTAACCTGTTTCTATGGCAAAGCCCATGGAATTATTCAGACACTGAAGTAATAGCCTGTAGAGTAGAAGGAGAATCGGCAAAGTACTGTTTTGTCGATTTTAAAATTGGAATGGTTTAATGATTTATATTCAAAATGCATGTTACAGAATCTGATATAGAAATTACTGGAACAAAAGACAACTTATGGCTAAAATGAAGCAGGTGTTTTAGAAGGGTATGGAGCCTTCATGCTGTGGCTAAGATACAACACTTCTTTGGTCTCTGGAGGGATTATTTGTGCTCAAAAAATAGAGACTTGCTCCTTTTTTTCTAGCCTCAAAATTACAGTATGCTATTTAACATTTGGAAAGTTTTGAGACACTCCCAAAATTTCTCCAGTATCATGACAAAATTGGAGGCACTGCAGTGGAATGTGCACGTGCTCGCTGTTCATGCCTGACTCGTTTGACTGCATGGTCTCTGTCCATCCAGTCATATGATGAAAATACATTGTAGTAGAATATGAGTTTCGCAGTGAAGATACTTGCAAACATCTACCTATATTTGAAAATTAATGCACTGTTAGCCTGCATTCAAATTAGGATTGGGAAACTTAATATCATAGATTATTTGAGTGCATTAATGCAACTTAGTAACATTAGACATCAGAAACCAACCATTAGAGATCTTGATACTCAACATAAAGAGAAATTGTTCTTCCTCATAGTCCTCTAAAATGCTAACTGTATGTATGGTTGTTCTTCCAAATTATCAGATATTTGAATGTTATTTATATTTACCTTTAAATGGGTGCTAAAAGTCTCTCGTAACATGCTGTCATTCATAGCACTACCTTTTTTTTAGAGTGTGACTCTGAGGACAGATTTATTTTCCATGCTCAGGTGACATTGTGGTCACGTACTCCAAACACCTCACTCAAAATGTGTGTAAAATGACATTTTGATTTCACATTGCAAAACCTTTGCTTCCCAAGAGGTTGAGAAGTTTTACATTTAGACATTCAGAATCCCCAAACTATTATGAAAAGTTTTCTAGAATCTGTTCTGATAGGGATCCCAAATTAAATTATAGAGAAACATAAGGTACATTTGACAGAGCTGATCTGAAAATGTGAAGTTGTCAGTTCATAGTCACATGGCTCTGCCAACTGAAAAGTAACATTATTGCAGATTGGCACAAAACTGGTATTCTGCACAATATTTTATATTACTATATGGATTTTGACAAATGCGTATGCTAAATGGTAGCCCTAAAAGCTAGCAAGCAAGAAATTACCAATCTCTTGTACAGTATTATATGCAAAAGATAATAATGTTACAGAACATTACATTCCATATTCTGTAAATCAGTTTCAAAGAATATTTTTCAGATACTCCTCAGATGATATTTCATTATAATGACCATATAAAGGGTGGGACCATTGTTGTCAGTTGTACCCTACAGAAAAACTTCAGATCCGTTTTTAGATGTAGAAAACTGGTTTATATTTTTATACATCAAAAAGCTGACATTTGTCATATTGCATCTTATTTATCATGTCATGGCTGTAAATTGGACACAGGCACAGAAAAATCTGTGTTTAAGTATTTTCATATTTTAGTGTAAATTACTGTTTGTACTGTGATTCCAATTTTTTTGGCATATGTTTCTTTCCACTGAAGATTTATTTGCAGATGTGTGGACTCACTGGTTAAAAGATGTACTAGATTTCATCTTGTGAGCAACTAAAGTAGAACCATTGTAAGAAAACGAACGTTTTTAATATTCATAAGTAAGATGTAGTCTCACAATTGCTTTTCCATAGCTTGAAGTCATGCTTCAGATATCTTAATATAGTTGGTCTTTTTTCTTTTACTTGGCAAGCTGGGAGAACAATTTAAATTTGGTAGGAGTGTTATCACAGACGATATACTAGTGATCTTGTATGAGATCTTACAAGTTCTATTCATGTTCTTCCATCAGATAACTGAATTCAGGGAAGTTCTAGAACATGAGTATTACTGCATTTAAGTTCAGTTAAGTGAGATTTGTAAGGAGAGATAATATATTTTATGTCAGGTGCTGAGAAGGCAAGCAGTGGGTTTATAAGCTTTTCACGAGTTCTGACAAAGAAGCAGAAAACTCCACATTTTAATAATCAATCTTTGACCTAGGGAAAGTTAGGAAGTTTCACGAGAAATTGTATTAGTGCCATAAAGTGGGATCAGCAAGGTGAAAGCAAGATTGGGTTGCTAACTATTGTGAACTCTAATCTGCTGAATATTTGCTTATGCCTTTGATCATGGTGAGCTATTTGAAAGTTAGATGGGAAAAATAAGGATTAATTTCTCCAAGGGTATAGGTTTAATGACTTTCCATATCAGCGTGAGGGTAGCGTCATGTAAGATGTGTGTGTGCGTGGTTGATGATAGTTTTCTTTTTGTACTGTAGCAAGTTTGTATACGTAATTCACATGGTGTTTATTTCCACAGTGACTGTTGGGTGAAAGGTGCCGATGAGGTATATAATGTGTATTCCTTACAGAGGAGATGAGGGATGCAGGTTTTGCTCTGTTTTGGATGATGGCTGGTGTTGTAGAAGCAATGTGTTTTAGGTCAGTGGCGTTCTTGCATTTAGTCATTTGGTGGATATTAAGAGTATGGCCATTATGGTATCCAAGGAGTTGATGTTGATCCAGTTTGAAGAAAGGTGACTAGAGATTTTGCAGCAGAAATGGAAGAGAGCGCCCTAGCTTTCACTCCAGATATAGCTTCAGGACAGTATTGATGTAATTACTTAAACAAAATATTAAACTCCTTGTGCAAGCGTGTTGTCCTTGTGTGTGTATTTGTGCCCATGTTCTGAATTAACTAGTACTGGCTCAGAATGGCCTTTCTGGATGAGGAGGTAGATATATTGGCCTAGGCCTTGTAGAAGATTCAGTTGGACTGGGATGCTGTTCTGGTTTGAGATGGTAGACAAGTCTGATGCTTTGAAACAAACCTTTTCCAGTATCTCTTTTGGTACTGTGCATTGGAGGGGCTGGTATTGACATAGATCATGTTTATAACCAACATTTAGGTACCTAACCTGTCAGTAACTTTTGAACTAAAATAAGTACATAAATGTAGTATTTATGACACCTATAGGATATTTCAGGTTGTTTTTTTTATTTTCTGTTTCTGCTAGCTGTAAAGTTTACATTAAGAACAATTCTAAACTGCTTAATATTAATGAAAGAATGCATATATTAGTACACTTTTAGTCAACAAAGGTGTCTTTTTGTAGACTTGTTATGCGACAGTGACATGTTTTTGTGAATTTCGTTGCTATCCTGTTATGTGGAGGAAGAATGACAGTATTTCTTCTCATACGTCTGAGTATCTGATGTCACTGTAATGATAGAAAGCATTTTTTTTCCACTGGTGATACAGTTCTGTGTATTTAAAATACAAAGATCAATGAAAAACACCCAATATCTAGACAGACATTTTGAAAAAATATTGCTTAGGTAGCAAAATGTAGTTGATAGATGTGTAATACACATGTATGGAAATGAAAATTACAAAAATAAAATTTTATTCAGATGTTTCTCGTGCATTTCACGTGTGCTGAAGAAATATTTTGTAACAGGATGACATTCCAATGTATTTTCAAAACTCCTTTATTTCATATAATATTATGTCATTAAGAAAATAAATTAATTCTGGGGAAAAGGTTTTTGCTTGACTGATTTTTGTTTTGTTTTGTCATACAAGATTGTCCAGTATATTCAGAAATGTGTACCAGTTGCTAAAAAGGTTATGTGTTTCATTGTTATGTGCTCCAGTTGTCTAAAATGCAAAAAAAACCCAAACCAAAACCACCAAACCCCATACTGGTCTCTGAGGAAATAAAATGTGGAGATGAAGAACGACATAAATGTATATTAGAATGAGCTGGATTTTTCTGAAGTGTGTTATACCAAATACTATACTAATTCACAGAGGTCATAATGTACATGAAACAAAGTGGAACACCAATCAACAAAAATAGATTTCTTCTTCACCTGGCAAAACTGCTGAATGTCTGGCTGGTCAAAATATCCCTCTGCCCCTTTTAACTTAATGTCTCATCTCTATCGCTTTCTCGATAATTGTTGGCCTATACTTGCTTGTTAAGTCTCTTTTTAAACCTTGTTCTTTTTCTTGACAGATTAGTGATTTTCCCCCACTGCATCAAACCTACAGATTTCTATGCATTTTTACTGATTCAGGCTACATTCATTTTGTGAATGCCTAAATTTTATGGTATGCTGTTCATTCCCGGAAAATCTAAAATAAGTTAAATGACTGCACATCCCTTAAAAATAAATAAACTACAGTTTTTCTTCTTCAGCAATAACTCAAGCTGTGACAGTTTCTTGTCAGAATTCCTTGCGTGTCATTTATCCAGCAGAAAGCAAAAATACTATTTGTGTATAGATATTCCCATCCTTTTATGGTTGCTGAAACTTTTTTTTGGAAAAAAAAGCAATTCTACTATTCTGTCCAAAAGTGTGTGATTACCTTATGCCATTATATTAGTCTCTTCCATTATTTGCTTAATTTGAAGTTATTGTCAAAAAGGAGCTTTATTTTTCTTCAGTCATTTCAAAATGCACACGTCTAATTTATTGTCTTTCTGTACCATATGTTACAAAGACTTTAGAAAGCAAAATTACACCTTCTCCCTAAAACCTTTGCAGTCCTTATTCTGTGTTAGTATTTCTCTTTTTTTCTGTTCTCTAGTAGCATGTTACACCCTTATTCTTCATGAAGTTTCACTAACTAAAAGTTTCTGGATGTTCATAATTTCAAGTAAGGAAGTCACATATAGAGAAATATGCCTTTCTTTTTTGATTTTGTAGTAGAGAGGAGTAGAGTGAGAAGTGCCGTGCAGACATTGGAATAATATTAATTCTGATCATAGCTTAGACAATGTTTATTCTCTCTTAGGTCCAGTGTTTGTTTGCTGGACTCATGCCTTTGTAGTGTAACACTGTGAAAACTGACATGTTGACACCGTTGGGACTGTTTTCAATAAATTGTATTCTGTGCATAACCAGTAATTGTGGTAATGCAAGAAAATTAAGAGCATTAGAGATGAGGTCTGTAAAAACAGTTGTATCTGTTGCCGTGCAGGTGGGTAGGCCAGATTCAGGAGAGCTACTGTGCTGTCTGTGCATGTGGTCAATATCTGCCCATGAAACAAAAGGCAAACCAGGAGACATTTTCTAAATCTTTGTAAGTTTGCTGGACTTGCTAGTTTTTTTTATATTCTAAAAGAATTACAAATATTTAAAACTTATTAGCAAAACTGTATAGAATTCACAGTAGTTTTAGCTAAATAGAGAGGAAGTAGACAATACAAAACAATCTCTGAATTAATAAATTATTCATACCAATATGTTTCACTTAAAAATAAATGTAGATTTTTGGAACTAAGAACAAAGTAACACCAAACTGAAGCATTTCATCCTGAGTCAAACAAAATATGAATTGGAATCTAACTTTGGCTCATCCCTGTTTGGTAATTAAAATTTATTTAATTCTTCCAGCAGATTCACCAGCTACAAAGCAGTTTGGAAAGTACATTGATATAGTGATTGGAAATCAAAACATTTTATATATTGAGCACCTGTATTTCTTAAAAAATCAAGTAGTCTGTATTGTCAGATGGGGGTGACTAGGAAATGCATAATGAGCAAGTTTGTAAACAAAGAGAAGTGATAATGTTGACTGAATTCTCTTGTTGATTACACCAAAGTAGCTCTGCTAAAACAATTGATTTTTTTTCCACATTTACACTAGTTCAGCTAAGAGCAGAACTGAACCTCAGTTCTGAAGGGGGAATACAGCTGAAGAAAAATAATGAGTTTTCCCACTTATGGAAGAAAAATTAATGGTTACTTCTGTCTGATGCTAAGTATTTATTGCTTGCAGTTCTCTGTCAGCACTATTACAAAGACATCAATCATGGTTTACAGAAATCTTTTTCTTTTCTGGACAGATGATGACACGTTTTCCAATGTGTTCTGTGAAAACTCTAAGAAACTTATCAATGTACATTTGTTTGCCCTGGCTGCTAAGTATTATTCTTTGTCCAGCCTTGGAGTGTGTACCCCATTAGAAGACCTACTTGAAGCACTGAGAGGAGACAATCAAGGAACAACAGGTATTTTTACATTTTTATTTAAATATTTTCTTCTTCACAATAGGACCTGCAGAGTTTTGGTTTTGGAGGGTGGTTTGTTGTTTTGCTGTGGTTTTTTTTTTTTTTTTTTTCTGACATGCTGCTCACTTCGATTTTCATTTGTTCCTAGATAGCTTCTTCATTGCCTTTGTTTATAAAATAGATTATCTTGCTAAAATTTGAGTAGAGGGGTCACAGCATTCATTACCTATAGACCCCTCCTGAGATTCAGTTTTAAAGGGCATGAAATAGACAAGCAGGCACATCATTATTTGGTTTGTTTTTCTTCTCCCTGAGCGGCACAAATCATGGTCGCTATTCTTGCTTTTTTTTAAGTCTCACATTAAATCTGGCAAGTGGGTTTTCCTGTTACATCGTTTGTTTAATATTAAATATGTGCTTTGGTATTTAGCTGAGTATGGCCCAATAAGTGGCATTTATTCTTACTTGGACTGCTGTAATTTTCACTGAAAATGTGCTCTTCATGGAGTCCTCAGTCTTTATAGATTTGTCACTGTCTTTCAGATTTCTCATTAGTTTTTCGGAGATAGACTGAGCAGTTCTCTGCCTTTGCCTTCTAGTGTGTTTTATCTCTATAATACATTAAAACTCTGACATTTCCTATCCTAAGTGATAGCACCATGATATATGTTGGGCATCTCTCCCATTTTCTACAGCAATCTTCTCTTTCCAATTTTACCATTTTCCATGGTTGACTCCCCAGTTTTTCATTTCATCAGGAATACTAAAATGCCGTGGCTAAGATAGTCTTAATGGTTTGTTGTGCATTGGTCTTACTTTCTGGCTTCTTCCTTGTGCTCTTCATTCATCTGAAGCCCTTTTTCCTTGTTTGACGACTGTATGCTGCTTTTCTTCCACTTGCTTTTTAGCTCTTCTTTTTTATTATGCTCAGACTTAACTCTGTATTTCAGAAAATATATTAATTCCCTGACATACTAAAGCTTGCAAGTCAAGAGAAGAGTAAGTTTGAGAAAATTGGCAACTTTACGATGGCTTTGGTCGTTTTCTGAAATCAGGATAAATCCATTTATGTTTTAGATGTTTTAAATACATTTTCTAAGTCAAACATACTTATGAGCCTATTCCCACAGTTTGCATACTTGCATAGTTCTCCAACTTCTTCACCATCTTAATGTATACATATTGCTATCCTTCCTTGGAATAATTGGTAGGCACAAATATTTAAGCGTATTGTGGACACAGCTACTCAGAACGGAGCTCTGAGTCTAAAGGGCTTTCTCTGTTGCTTTCTAACGAAGGTCACAGTGGTCCTTATTGCACCATCAGTTGCTTCCAGTGAGTACACGGGGTCCAGAAGAGCCTGGCGCAAGGAGAGGAATCCAGCAGAGAAAATTTCCTTCGGTACAGGCTTCACATCTGATATAAAAAGTGAGGGTTGCTAGAGTACTGGATTAAGAGTACTCTCTACCTTTGCAATGTGTTTATGGCCAAGGTAGCAGTCATGCAGTTACTGTTAGCAAATCCGTCTTTAAATTCTGTGTACTGGAATATCACTCTGCCTCAATGGTTTTTTAGTATATGGTTATCCCCATCCCTCACTCTGGCTTATGGAAAGAAGTCTAAAAATGGTTAAGAAAATTTAGCAGCTGAGGCGATAGATACGACGTATAGGTAGGTATAAGCAAACTATGATTTTTCTACCTGGAACCTCAGCTTTCTAAGTTGGGTCTTGTTTCTGGATTTCTGGATTTCTTCCGTGTTTGAAATCCTTAATTTGTCTTAAGTGCTCTCTGAAATGGTACTTCACACAGCATTACCCAATTCACTGATATTACCCTTTCAAGTTCTTACCGTAGCAAAGAGTAAAAGGTGCAATATGTGGTGATAGTTCAGAGTGACAGTGCAGCTTCAGAGAACAGTCAAACAACTTTTATTTCTGTCAGGAAGTTAAATGTCTATTTCTTCCTGTTCCCATTCTGCTCTTTCTTCTGAAAAGCCTGTCCAGGCACAAAAATGTTCAAATATAAACAAAAAAGGGACCTTTTATGTTTTCATTTTTAATTTTTTTCTGTCTTTTTTTCTTTCATTTGAAATGCTTACACATTAAGCTTTTTTGGGACACCATGTAGGTCTTCATGATTTTAAAGTTTAGGAAAATCTTTACTGAAATGGCAAATGCTTGTTTCTGCTGTTTGTTTTGTTTAAAAGTATTTTAATCTATTTTTTCTTTTGTTGGTTCATAGAGTCTATATTAGATTTTAAGTATTGTCATAACAGTTTATTATAAAAAAACAGATGTATAAGAAATAGAGAGATCCTGTGGGTTTTGTGGAAAAATAGAGAAAACATTAGGTTTCTCATGAGCTCAGTTCAATTCCCCACTCTCTTTTAAAGAAGTAACACTCTTGGCTCTGTTCCCAGCATGATCTGATCAGGGAATGAACATAGTTTTTGCCTAATGATCAGTTTCTGGACAGATGAACGCATACTGTGCAGAAAGCAGAGAATGGGAAAGTATATTAATCTGCCTAGTCATGTAGAAAAAGTCATGTCTTCTAGGAGCATGCTCATCAGTAACGGTCCAGTTTCTTCTGCCATCACTCAGACTTACAAAAATTTCCATCAATTTAACTAGAGCCAAGTCTTCAGTAGTGTTGGCCACCAAAGAGAAATGTGTGGGTTTCTCCCAAGAAAGCGACTTCTGAGCTCCTCCTTTGGTTGGGGGATGTAGAGTTTAGCAAGTGGGTGCTTGGTATTCTGTGCAAGCAGTAAATGTGTGGTAGAGATGGACTCCATCTCATTAATACATTTTCCAGCAACACTGAAAGGAGTGATTTTCTATCATAACGATGTAACAGTTCTATAACCCGTCAATATAAATAAAGAAAATAAAAGTGCATCTTCCTTTGAATTTCCCCAGCATCACTCATAACTTTTATTTGTCTCCCACTTGATATTGTGAGCAAATCTGCAGAATTAACAAGCCATCCTGTGTGACTATTAATTGCGCCTGCCCTTATATTTCATATATATAAAGGTAAATGTGATAACACAAAAATAAATATTTTTTAATGAACAGGAAGAAATAATATATTTTTATAGTAGTAGCTATTGTCTAACATCTGGTCAGGTATTAGATATGCTACATCTTAAAAACTACACTAATAATACTTAGTTTTACAGTGTGTTGAATTTTACTAACTCATCGATAATTCAGAAGTTTAGTCTTGTCATAGTTTAGTGAGTTTTTAATTGAAAATTACTATCCTTAAAATCTAAAAATACTATAGCATATTTTTAGGCTGGTATTTTTTCTGATTGTTCACAAATCTGATCAGAAATCTTTATTATTATTATAGATTGTGTTAATGTGTATTTATTTTCTTAATCTGATACAGTTATCAAAACTGATGAGTTTATGAATAATAAGAAATCACATGAAGTGCAGGTGATGTCAGAGCTGGTAGACAACATAGCAAATTATTGTGGCATAAAGCAGGTAAGAAACCATTTCTTACTGTATGTTACAAATTATTCTCCTTATTGTGTCCAAATACATCATTTTGATATACTGTCATGGCTGTTCTTATTTTTCCTGTAAATAATTGTAGCTAAAGAAGAGCCTTTAGGGCCAAGCTGAGGGACAGTTTTGTTTGCAAATGTATTGTTCCAAAGGAGCTGCCTTTCAGTGAGTCATAATAATTTTATGACTTATGAAAAATTCTAAGAAATTGTAATAATCCTCTATGTGTTGAGCAGCTAAAAATGGTACTGCTTGTTGGTATTCACAGGTATTGCCTTTTTTATTAGTGTTATATTGCTGGCATTGCTTACAATAAGCATCAGCAGAGATGCTTATGGTAGAGAGAGAGCAAAACTTTGTTCTTCTTCTGTCAGACACACAAGAGTGCCACATAGAGACTGTAGCAGAAAATCTGAAAAATTTTGAAAGCCCATCTCATTCTGGTGCAAGAGGTTGAAATTGTTTCTTATTGTTTAATGCTGTTCACCTTTGTTTAACACGGATTGCTATCTATCAACTATGAATTTGTTTTTGACTTTTTTGGTTTGAAGAGAGACCAGATTAAGCAGAGATTTATGTAGCAGAGTGTGCACGAAGTATGTTTGTTAGAACATGTGTGAGATCTGGACACCCAACACCATTATCACACAGCAATTACTCTGTGAATTGGCTGTTTCATCCACCAGGTGGCAAGTTCATTCTTGGATAGTGAAGAATTGCAGGATTCCTTTCTCAAATGTGATTGTAACTTTTTTTTTTTTTTTAACATGTAGTTAACATGTAGATTGCACAGTGCACTAGATCACTGTTGCATTAAAACCTCAAGAGATGCCTACTTATGGATCTGTTGACAAAACACAAGCATCGCAACCATACTTGACTTTTGAGTACTGTATTTCACATTCTATTAGGCAAAAGTACACCAATACCATTTTCTCGGTTTACATACGTGTAACATACAATTTTTCTGTGAGCTTTTTCAATGTTAAATTTGCTTTTACATTCCACGTCTTAGACCTGTGTTGCAGTTTAAATATCTGGGTGAACTGAGTTAGTTTAATCATTTAGATCTCTATAATGCTAGTAACTGGCTAATGTAACTTCATCCTGGCTTTAAACTGTAGATGACTAGTGGCTGTGGACACTGTATTTGATTCCTTTCTCACCTGGGCTGCACTTGTGTTCTGTGCAAGTGGCTGTAAGTGTAAATGGAGACTAATTTCCTCCAGCCTAGTATTCATTCCCACAAAGATTTGTGGAGAACAAACTATATTTGTTTAAAACCAAAAATTAATAAGGTATCTGCCTCAATTTTATGCTGAACATATTCCCTCTGAGCCTTTTTTTTTTTCCCTAAGCAAATATATTTGAGTGTAGTTTAATGTATTGGGTGTGGGTAAGGGGGAAGAGACCACTGCATCTGGGCAGACCAAGGCTGTATTACTGTGGTCTCTGGTATATCTTGTCCCTCTTGTGGTGCCTGGCCTTTGTAATGTGAGAGTGCAAGTTGGCGTGCTCCATACCTGCACCGGGAAGGTGGCTAAAAATTGATGGTGTGGCCAGTCGTGTGCCAGGGTAGAGCAGATGGCCGTGCTCTGCCCACTTGAGTGGTAGCGATGTAGCCGCAGCGTCCCGAGTTGCTGCATGCCACCACCGAAGGCGGGCCCCAAAACTTGGGTTCAGCTCTGAGTTGCTAAAGCTGAACTTGGATTAGGAAGTTGTTTGGCTCGGACCAAGTTTAATTTAAATAATGTAAATGATGCAGTACTCTTGATAGGTTTGGGTCAGGCCTGTGGTGTCCTTGGAAGCAGAGATCAAAACTCTGAATCCTGACTGACCAATGAAGGCAAAGTTTTAGGCAGTCTTCTCCTTGCAACTAGGGTTACCAGGTAAACGGAGAGCTGCAATTAAGGCTAAATATTACTGGATGAGACACAATCAATTTGTGAGCATCTGTGATGGCTGACAGTGGTGGAAGGCGATCTCTGGCAGCTCTTTCCGGAACCAGCTGCGGTGACAAGCTGGGTGCTCTCAACAGCCGTAAAGTGGACATGCTCTGTAAAGAATAGAAATATGGTAGCAGCCGATTTGTGAAAGTAACTTCTTCCATTGTTAGCATGTTCTTCGCCTTGCTTACCTTTTGCTTCAGGCAAGTATTAATCTTTGTGTTGAAGACTTTCATGTCAGAAAAAGCTGTGGGAGGGTGTAGTTTGCTTACAATGCACTACTAAATGTTCTCTGAGTTTGCTGGAAGGTGGTGTTTCATATAGCATTTTCATTTAGGTTTAAATGGTTCCTGTGAGATTCAGGAATGAAAGGAGAGGAAAACCCATATTCAGAGAATAAAAAAGTAGAGCCACCTTAATGACCTAACCTAAGTCCCAGTGTAGCTGGTTACTAACAAAATCTCAAACCAATCATTATTAAAGATCTGTCAATATACTGCAATTTCATGCAGTGATTATGCACTTTTGTCAGATGGCTTGGATGGATTAAGACAAAGGATTATTTTCTATTTGTTTTTTGAAAAAATTGTAACATTTAATGAAAAATATTATTGCAGTATATCACTGAATATGAAGTGCTGTCTGCCCTATATTAACTTTTTTCCATCTTGGTCATAGGCTGTAACAAAATTTATTTGTGCAAAGTTACAAATCCCTAATATATGAAAAGAGCTTTCCAGATCCATTTAAAAAAAAGAGAAAAGGCTCCTTCTCAGTTATTAAAAAAGCGGCTCCTTTTGTTTTGGTTGCCTTTCAACTTAAAAAATATAGGAATTGTAAAATTTTAGGAGAGTTTTTTCCTTATTGATTTTTTTCTATGCTTCTCACAAAACTAAATATATGTGGCATTTAATTAAAAAATCTAGAGCTATGAAAACACAACACATGTTTTACAACAGCACGTGTCCTCAGGGTGTTTCTTTCAGATATTACAGATGACTGACGGATTGAAAAATGCCCTACGTTTCACCTCCATACCCATGATGTATACATCATTATAATGGGTGGTAGAGGATATTACTCTCTTATGGTATTTTATAAGGTAGTATAATAAATAGTAAAATGAGAATAAAAGCAAAAATTTTATTACTACTGTAATCACTTCTAAGTTAATGTTTTGAATTAAAACATCAAAGCAAACTAACTAAAGGGTTTTTTTAAGTTGTTTACTGTCCATTTTAAGCATTGTTCCTGTTGTACAAGTGGAACTTTATTTTATAAAGTTCTTGATTAAACTCTGAAAAGAAGACAGTGATGATTCTTCTTTGTTTAAATGCACATTTGTTTTCTTTAATGTATTTGTGAAAATTTTCCTTAGAAATTGCAGCATGTGCAGCAAGAGTTGCAATGTGTAATGTAAGCATGATATAATTCTGCATTCAGCATCCATTAAATTTGTGATTTCGTGCTGGGAAATGTTGGAATGCTTCTGGAAACAAAGTTCCTGATTGCACTGTGCCAGAAAATGTGTTTAAACATAGTACCCAACTCACTATGGACAAGACCTTTGGAGTTCATTATATCATGGAAATTTCATTTTAAAAGTTCATGCTTGGCAGATACTCTATGGATTGCTGATTACCTTTCCTTATGTAATCAAGGGAAGGTAAAGCAGGGATTAATTTAATGCCGACTATTTGTTTAGCACAAGATCATTGCCGGCTTATTTTTAGTCAAATTTTCCTTTCGTTTTAAAACTATGCTCCTAGTGCTAATTTAACCATATATTACTATTTTCTTTTTTACTTGGAAACAACTAAAAAAACTTTACCCAAACAGCAGTTTGTCTTTACAGCCACCAGAGGTCACATGTAGGAGTTAGGAATAATTCACTCACTGACTCCTGTGTCCAAATGCTGCCTTTCACAGAAATAGTTAAAAACCTTGTAGAAGTGGAGGTGTGCATAGTGTAATAGTAACATCTGTTGCATAAAATAGTGGGTAAGATCATTCCTTGAACACTTTTCTTTCCTTTACTTTTAAATAATCTAGGAAATTATTGGTGATAAATGTGACAAATAAATGATATTATCAAAAAGTATGCTTAGATTGTATCAATTCTATTTCATTAAATTCACTTCGGTACTGATTTCATTCAAAAATTGGAGGATTGTAGCATGCCTAGATGGCAAATATGCAGTAATATCACTTGACAAGTGCAGATGAGAAAGCCGTGTGCAGCCTGGGTAAACACTTCTTACCTAATAGACTGTGTTCTCCACTGTTTTTTGTAGGTTTTAGTGACATTGGTTCCAATTTTTCTTTCTAATTCCATGGCTGTACAAATATTTAACCTAGAACAAGGAATAAATATTTTTCATTTCAGTAAGAGTACTGACTATTCTTACCTGGTGAAAAACTATGCAGTTGAGTTTAAGATGGATCCCTGTAGTGTATGGTGGTATTTGGATTTACAAATATCATTGTAAACTTTCTTATGAGCATGTGACAGACCAAGAACAAGACATAGATGTTCTTGAATCAAACACTTTCAGGAGCATCTGCAAAGTAATTGTATCTAGTCAATGTAATTTTTGTTAGATACCAGAACAGAAGTGAACATTATCATTTTCTTTCTTAGAGAAATGTTACTTTGCCTATTCTTGTAAAATATTTTGTTATCTGTTCGTTACAAGTCAAAACACACATGATATAAAGCTATGATTATGTACTCAAAGGTCCCAGGTTACCCTTGTTTCTGCTGCTACTCTGTATAGTATTTTCCCTCCTGTGTTATATCAGTCACTGCAGTAGCACATGCTGTCAGCTAAGAGACAAACTAAACTGTCAGCTGCTTATCCCCTCCATTCACTCCTTCCTCCAGAACAGAGAGTGGAAAGCACATGACATATAAGCCCCTTTGTATTATTACAAGAGCATTCTTATGTTAGTCAAAGCTGTATGGATCATTTGCATGGAATGGGAAGATGGTATAAATAAACATGCTGACATAAAAGGGGGTATTAATATCACCTGTCTTTAGGTCACATCTGAAGTGGTTAAGTTAGGCACCAAATCTGAAGATTCTTATTTCTGTACACCAAGTGATAGTAGACTCCTCAGTATGGGAGTTAGGTGCCTAAAGCTATATACTCCGAATGGTTTCTCTGCTGACTCAATATCTTGACTCAGTTTAGCAAGGGCAGGTAGTGTTGTTGGTGGTTTATTGTTATTTTCTTTAGCAGAAGGAAGCTCTGTGTCAAAAAATACACTGAAAGTCTTTCCCAGAAGAGTCGGGGTGTGTGCATTGCATAAGCATTGCAGTGTCTGTTCTCTGTAGCAAACTAGTTAAGACTTAGTTCTCTGTTTTAAAGCCAGAAGGTGGATCAACAAAGCAAATTAACTAAATATATCAGGAGGGATAACTGATCAAGTAATTAAATCCATGCTTAAATTTTTAGGGAATTATTTTTCATTTGTTTGAATTGTGTCTTGTTAATCATTAATGTAGTGATTTTTTTTCCCCCCCCCCCATGATCTAGGTGATTGATATAGGTTCTGGGAAAGGCTACCTGAGTTCATTTTTGTCCATGCAATATAACTTAAAAGTTTATGGAATTGACTCCTCAAACACCAACACTAATGGTGCTCATGAAAGGAACAGAAAATTGAAGAAACACTGGAGAGCATATCAGAGTCGAGGAAGAGCAAACCTTGAAAGTCAGAGGTTGGAAAAGGCAAATAACAGGCCAGTGGAAAGTGAAATTCCATGTAAAGCAATTGCTGAAGAGCCCTTGAATAGTGACAGCAATCTTCAAAGTCAGGACCAAGTGACTATCCAAGATTTAGTTCCTTCTTGTGGTTTCACAGAAATAGCTACATCTGAAATCAGCAAGCAAACTGGAGTTGACTTGGTGGCTTGTACACAGTCTGATGAGAGCAAACTTTCTGAAGAGGTTCCTGATATTCTAGATGTACTGCCTGCTGATGCTGTAGAAGTTTTTTCTTCATCTCAGTGTAACTGTGGGGAACTTTGTGAAGAGGAGAAGGTGCAAAGAAGAATGGCATCTCTCAAGGCTAAAGCGAACAAGTCAAGTGAATCAAATCTGTATTTTCCATTGACCTCTTGCATCACTGCAGAAACAGAACTCAGTGACATCATAACAGATCTGGAGGTTATTTTACTAATATTTGAAGTAGATTGTCCATTGTTTTTATATTGCCATATTCAGATGTACATAGTGTTTGCTGAGTGTACAGAGTGCTGTCAGTGGTGTAAATGAATATTCTGACCCAATAATGTTTTTCAGACAGTTAGCAGAAGTGTGTCTAGCAGATACAGATTGTTTTTCTATTTTAATATATGTGTTGGGATTATTTTGAATATGTAAAGCAGCCTTTAGAATTTATGGTGTAGATAATAATCGGCTGTCAAAGTTAACAGCATGCATACTAGCACATTCAGGTATTTTGCAATTGTGGTTATAGATAACATCTAATTATTATTAAAAGAGTTATATTTACCAGGTAGATGGCTGTATTAAGCACTGAAATTTCAATTTTCCTGAAATTTTTAATTTTTTAAGTTTTATATTTTTGTGATTTCAGTTAAATTTTGAAGGCATAGGAGAATTTTTGTATGGTAAGCAACATAAAGAGCTTGCAAAGAGCCCTCTCTGCAAATAATATTTCTATATTTTGACTTTTGACAGTTACTTTAAGTTCATTTAGTAATATATTAGCTGACGGGGGTTGTGTCTACAGAAACAAGGCCAAGCTCAGCTGTGCAAAGACAGCGGCACAAGTCTAGAAGCTGTACGTCTGTTTAGTTCCTATGCCTGAGCTAACGTACATTGATTGGGTAGATATACTCAGTCTTCCGCGGAAAGGTGAAAACTTGCCTTTGTTCAGTAGTAACTGAACTGTTATATTCAGAGGTGTAATTCATCTCTGACTCAAGATCATAGGTTTGCGCTGATGGCCCTATAACTTGAGCTAATAAATCCTACTAAGTATCTGAGAACATGTGGAGCAAGATCATGCCTGTCTGCAAAAGACACCCTGAGCAGCAGGGTTTGTTGATGAAGCATATGCCTTTACATTTGCACAGTTGGATTTTGTATTCTCTTAGCATGTAGTTTGTATTATGTTAAAGGTAGAAGAAATCCCATATCGCTGTCTTCCTTTATAAAAAAGCCTTACTGTCAGAAAAGGTAAAAGCTTCATTGTGTTAAAAAATAGTAATAACAAAACTGCACATTATGTGTGGTGAGGATGTGTAATTAAAAAACTTGAAAATGTGCAATCATTTACATGTTTTAAAAGTATTTTGAGAATTTTTAGAAAGAAAATATTTTTTAGAAATAGTTTTACAAATATTTACAATTTTGTATTGTAACCATAAATTTCTTTTTCTCAAATTTTCCTAAGCTGAGGACAAATGGGGGATGGATAAAATTAGGATTTAATGATTTATACTGTAAATTCTGAAATTAATCTGCTGATGAAATATGGGTATAGGAATGCATGTTAGTTTATAGCCCAGGACTAATATTGAGATATCAGATTTTGCTACACTTAAGCGAACAATCCAGAAAGTACTTCCAGTTAAATCCAGGCAACTTTGCTGAAGTCAGTGATGGTCCAGAAGTGTACCTGACACAGACAGACTGCCCCTGTATTGTTCAGAAGTTTTGAGCATCATAATGTGTTTCTTCTGTCTTGCATCTTCCGCTAGTGTTCTCCCAAAAAAAAAATCTCTGTCTTTTCCTGTCCTGGGGTTTAAATGCTGCTGCCCTTGCAAATGCACATCTTCCCTTAGCTTTCAAGCCTTAGTCTTGTTCCACTATTTCTGTAATTGCATGTGGATAAAAGCTTTGTAGAATGGTGAGCTGAAGCTGACCGATAGGAAAAAAGTCTTTAAAAACTAAGCTGGACTGAAACTGAACTTTTGCCACCCAAAAATTTGGGATGCTAAGAAAAGGGGAAGGCAAGCACAGAGAAGCAGCAAGAAGTTGAAGGTGAGAAGGGGGACAGCAAGAATTACAAAAAAAAAACCAAAAAAAAAAAACCCCAAAAAACAAAAAAAACCCAACAACAACAAACCAAAAACAGAAGAAAGAGAAGGTTTTACTATTTCGCACATACATATATTATATAATACAGCTGGGTGAGAAAATCAGATACAGAGCAGAAAAAATGTGCATATAAAGTCAGAATTATTATAGAAGAGTATCCCAGTTGAATGTCTCTGGGCTAATTTCTTTTCGATTACCTGGTTAATAAATAAGTCTGAAATTCAGAGCAACACTGTTTACCATGTAGATTCCAACTAATAATGTCAGAAGGTGAATATCTTGTTATGAATGGTGAGAAGAGGGATAATTTGGATAGAGAAATAGAGGGAAAAGGGAAATTGAGGAAGAGGAAAGTAGGAAGTAGAATGGACAGAAGAGCAGAACAGGTGAAGCTGAAGTACTTTGTGCTATGGAAGAAAATGCCCATTTTTTGTATAGTAGTAGGCACACTGCAAAACCGTGGCAGTTCTACAGTTTTGGAAATAACAAAGCCTGCTCTTCACATTACATCTATATTTAGGAAGTGATTTTCATTTCAGCAATGTAAAAGAGCAGAAATGTCATAGACAGGTCCAGCCAGATTTACAGCAGTGAATCTGAAGTAAGAAAAGGAAGTAGCAGTGGTAGCAATAACAATAACAGGAAAGCTGGGAAAGGCAAGAGAAAATGGCCTGTGTCCAGTTACCATGTCGATGTTCCCT